GTGTGTGTGTGTGTGTGTGTGTGTGTGTGTGTGTGTGTGTGTGTGTGTGTGTGTGTGTGTGTGTGTGTGTGTGTGTGTGTGTGTGTGGTTTTAATACTCCCTAAGTGCTGCTGCACTGTGGCACTTTATAGTGTGTGTCTGAGTGTTATTCTTTGTGGGTGGGTCTGTATGACATCCAAGTGGAAAATTTCACAGCACAACAAACATGTGCAGTGTGTTTGCTGCTGCAAATGGAATATTATGATGTATACATGTGACATATCCCAAATAATGGCCCTGATCCTGCAGAAGCATTGGTGGGTATTGACCCTTACAGCTCCACAGAGTCCCAGTGATAGAATTCAGCGGAAACATAAAAATCCACCAGTGGGGATCCTATTGGGGCTTAATTTGTGCATATGTACCAAACAAAAACCCAGAGTAGTTTTTTGCACCATCTCATCATGATAACAAAAATATCCTAGAATTTTTTTAATTATGACTTAGCTTCAGAATCATACAGTTTGTGGAGTAACTGTTCTGTGCTTTAATTGTTGGTAACAAGAGGGGCTCTTTACATTCTGGATCAGTGTTTGCACATTCTGTAGTGGATTCTCCTCCTCATCAGCTCATTAAAATGCATTTGGTTCAGTGAGCTATAGAAATCAACTGTTCATTTATTTGTTAGGCAATTGTCTGGGTTCTTTTCTCTCTATTCCTCACCTGTTTTTGTTTGTTTGTTTTCAGGTATTTCTTACATTATTTGAAAGAGAGAAGGCACTGGGGACCTGCAAACAATCAGGCGGTTTCTGAAAAATCTTTATGGTAAAGGATAATCCACGTCTCCCTGTAGAAGAACATAGTGAATGATGTGAGTTAACAACTGCAGTATAGTCATTTGTAATTATGTCCTTTGTATGGATTTCGATATTTTGCTATTTGGTTGGGACCCAAGTCCTATGAAGTGTTGAGCACACATTGTAAGTTGCTGAGCATCTGTAACTCCTTTGACATCAAAGGGAGTTTGGGTTAGGTTACTAGCCCAGACATTGCACTTCATTTTTTAAATTATGCTATTGAGGCAAAGGCAAGGCACCTAAAGGGTGATGTTGGGTTCCTTTTTCCTCAGAGTGGTGTCATTTATAGTGCTGCAGTTAGTGACGCTGCTGGCAGTTTGATAGCTCAGTGGTAAAATTCTGTTTATTACTTAGCAGATTAAAAAGAAAAAATTGCTAAGGGCTAACGTTCATTATCCGAGACCTCAGTTCAGGAGTTACGCACCCACACACACTTCATTTAAATCATTTGGCCATTATCGTATTAGAGGAACACGAATGTGGGGTGCCTTTCTGAACTTACATTGAAAACTGGAATTAATACAATATTTTGAGCAGAGAATTATATTAAATTTAATGTGATTTTAAAAATAGCTCCTGTATAAATTCTTCTCTCCCCTCATCGCACAAATGTCCATCCACATGAATCAGAGTCATGTTTACATGTGCTTTTCAAGGGGAAGAATAGCTAGGCAGTTAAGGTCCTGCAGTGGAGAACTGCAGAGTCTCAATGCGTAGATGAGACAGTGGTGTAGGGAGGAGGGTTTTAGATTTATTTGGAACTGGGGAACCTTTTGGAAAGTAGGAGCCTATATAGGAAGGATAGGCTCCACCTCAACTAACGCAGAACCAGATTGCTGGCATGTAAAATTAAAAAGCTTGTAGAGAATGTTTTAAGCTAATGGGTGTGGAGGAGCACATGATTCAGGAGGAGACATCCCTTAGGGATGAATTATTCATGGAGGAACTATATTTCCTACTAAGTAGGATAGGAAAGGAGTTGGTAAAGCACAAGTAGAGGCTAGTGAGGAACAGTCAAACATAAGAGTCCCATTTAAATACAACACATGAAGGCAAGCAACTTAATATAGATAAAACGTACAAGTGCTTGTATACAAATGCTAGAAATGTAAATACTAAGGTAGATGAACTAGAGTGTGGCATTAAATGAGGATATTGACATAATACTTGTGGCGGAAACTTAGTGGAATGAGGATAATCAATGGGACATGGTAGTATTAAGGTACAACATACAAAGAAATGACAGAGTAGGTTGTGCTGGTGGGGAGTGGCACTATATGTGAAAGAAAGCATAGAGTCAAATAAAGTAAAAATCCCAGATGAATCAAACTGTAGTATAGACTCTCTATGGATAGAAATTCCATGCTTGAACAGTAAGAGAGTGGCAGTAGGACTATATTGCTGACCACCTGACCAGGACAGTGACCGTGATTGTGAAATGCTCAGAGAGAGTAGAGAGGTTACAAAGGCAGAAAACACATTAATAATGAGGAATTTCAACTATCTTCATATTGCTTGAGAATATGTCACCTTAGGAAGGGATGCAGAGATAAAATTTCTAGACACCAAAAATGACTGCTGCTTGGAGCAGCTAGTCCTGGAACCCACAGAGGGAGAGGCAATTCTTGATTTTTGGCCCTAAGTGGAGCACAAGATCTGATCCAAGAGGTGAACATAGCTGAACCATTCAGTAATGGCAACTATAATGTAATTAAATTTAACATCCTGGTAGGGGGAAAATGCCAAAGAAGCCCACCATGATAGCATTTAACTTCAAAAAGGGGAACTACATAAAAATGAGGACACGAGTTAAACGGAAATTAAAAGGAACAGTCGCAAAGGTGAAATGCCTGCAAATTGCATGAAGTCTATTTAAAAACACCGTAATAGAGTCTCAAACTAAATGTATACTCCAAATAAAATAAAACAATAAGAGGCCCAAACAGTGTCACCATGGCTAAACAGCAAAGTAAAAGAGATGGTTAAAGACAAAAAGGCATCCTTTGAAAATTGGAAGTCAAATCCTAGTGAGAAAAATTGAAAGGCGCGTAAACTGTGGCAAGTCAAGTGTAAAAGTTTAGTAAGGCAGGCCAAGAAAGAATTTGAAGAGCAGCTAGCTAAGGACACAAAAACTTACAGAAAAAAAATTAAGTACATCACAAGCAGGAAGCTTGCCAAACAGTTAGTGGAGCCACTGGATGATCAAGGTGCTAAAGGACCACTCAAGGAAGACAAGGCCATTCCGGAGAAACTAAATTAATTCTTTACATCAGTTTTCACTGTAGAGGATATGGGGGAGATCCCTACACATAAGCCATTTTTTTAGGTGGCAGATCTGAGGAATGGTCACAGATTGAAATGTGAGTAGAGGAGGTTTTGGACCAAATTGATAAATTAAACAGTAATATGTCACCAGGACCAGATGGTATTCACCCAATAGTTCTGAAGGCCTCAAATATGAAATAGCAGAACTCCTAGTTGCAGTGTGTAGCCAATTGCTTAAATCAGCCTCTGTACCAGATGACTGGAGGGTAGCTAATATAATGCCAATTTTTAAAAAAGGCTCCAGAGTCAATCCCGGCAATTACAGACCGGCAAAACTAACTTCAGTACCAGACAAATTGGTTGAAACTATAGAAAAGAAACAGAATTATCAGACCGTAGATGAACATGATAGCTGGGGAAGAGTCAACCCAACTTTTGTAAAGGGAATGCCTCACCAGTCTGTTATAATTCCTTGATAGAGTCAACAAGCATGTAGACAAAAGTGATCCAGTCTATTATAGTGTACTTGGACTTTCAGAAAGTCCTTGACAAGGTCCCTCACCAAAGACTCCTAAGCAAAGTAAGCAGTCATGGGATAAGAGAGAGAGTCTTCTCGTGGATTAGTAACTGGTTAAATGATAGGAAGCAAAGGGGAGGAATAAATCCCCCAAAGATCTGTACTGGGACTTGTGCTGTTCAACATATTCATAAGTCATCTGGAAATAGGGGTGAACAGTGAGGTGGCAAAATTTGCAGACAATACAAACTTACTCAAGACATTTAAGTCCAAAGCTGACTGCGAAGAGTTACAAAAGGATCTCATTAACTGGGTGACTGGGCAATGAAATGGCAGATGAAATGCACTGATCAACAGTGAATTTCAAAGTAACGTGCATGGGAAATCATAATCTCAACTACACATACAAAATGATGGGTTCTAAATTAGCTGTTGCCACCCAAAAAAACAAAAATCTTGGAGTCATAGTGGATGGTTCTCGGGAAAATGTCTGCTCAGTGTGCAGTGGCAGTCAAAAAAGCTAACAGAATGTTAGAAACCATTAGGAAAGGGTTAGATAATAAAAAGGAAAATATCATAATGCCACTATATAAATCCATGGTACACTCACACCTTGAGTACTGCATGCAGTTCTGGTCCCCTTGTCTCAAAAAAGATGTATTTGAATTGGAAAAGATGCAGAGAAGGGCAATGAAATTTATTAGGAGTACGGAACAGCTTCCATCCGAGGACAGATTAAAAAGACTGGGACTCGTTCAGGTTAGAAAAGAGACAATAAAGGGGGGATATGATAGAGGTCTATAAAATCATGAATGGTGAGGAGAAAGTGAATAGGGAAGTGTTATGTACCCCTTCACATAACACAGGAACTAGGAGTCACTCGATGAAATTAATAGGCAGCAGGTCTTTTAAAAAGCACAATGAAGTACTTCTTCATACAGCACACAATCAGCTTGTGGAACTTGCTGCCATAGGTTGTTATGAAGGCCAAAAATATAACCTAGTTCAAAAAAGAATTAGGTTCATCAACGGCTATTAGCCAAGATGGTCAGGGATGCAACCCCATGCTCTGGGTATCCCTAAACCTCTGATTGCCAGAAGTTGGGACTGAGTGACAGGGAAAGGATCACTTGAAATTGCCTTGTTCTGCTCTTTTCCCTCTGAAGCATCTGGCACTGAGCTAGCATTGGTCTTATGCTCCTGCAGTCATTAATAAATGGGACTATTTCCATGAGGACATGTTGAAAGGAACTGTGCAAATGATCTAATGTTCATGGTTTTCCAGTGTGTATTGATTGTTTTCTGGGTTGTGAGGATGCAGTGTGTGTAGAAACAAATTTAAATGTTTTTACATAGCTTTATGTTTTGTGCATTGTTTTAATGGGTCCAAGAATAACCCATCTTCTTATCTGAGAGTAAACGTTGAGAACTCCAATGTTTGATAAGTTGTCCTTTAAAAACCTTGTTCAGAACATGCAGCAGTCTTTTATGATGCTAGTAGTGTTAATAAAATAGGTGCCGATTCTTCCAGAATGGGCAAGTCGCTTTTATTTGATTTGGAGTGCTTGGATTTTCTCAAAATTGAGTATGTTTAAATAATAAAAAATAATATGAAATCCCACATCCGGTGGATTTGAGTACAACGTGCCAAACTTCAGCTTTACTGATAGCTGTCCAGATTTTCTTCAAAAGTTAGGAAATTCCCAGCATTCTGTATTTGTAGCACATAATGTCAATGACCTTAAGATCTTAATTTTGTGTTTTAGTCCAATTACTGCCCAAGGAGTACAGGCCACAGGATGTTGTTGGAAGTGTCCATGTGTGTGTGTAGGGCAAAAGAATATGACTGGAAACGTGGTTTAATGTTTAGGTTATAAGTGCAAGTGATAACAGTGGGTTCGTTCTCCACGGGATCTTTGTTGATATGATCGTGTATGCATAATTTGACACTTCAGTCAAATTCAGGCAGATATGGGTATATCCGTTATCAAGCACCTCAACTGATTGCAATGCACTGGTACTGCATGTGAAGGGGAGTGGTCCAGGTCTCATAGAGTTTGGGGCTTTTTATGTCAAGACCATTCATGTGAACTCCACCTGGAAGCTAATTGTCACCCTTACAGAGAATGTAGCCTCTGTGTAATATGCTTTCTGTCTGATTCCATTCTGCAACACCTTACATTTCTGAATGATACCCAGGGCAGTGCCACTTAGAGCACATTGTGGTGATAT